AAACAGTTACCAACAATACAAAGAAAATCCTTGTAAATTGGTAATCGGCCTATCCATTTCAAACAGAGGCCTAATTAATATATAAACAGCGTATTTATGTTCAGAAACAGGTTTACTTTACTGTTCTTTATTGTTGTGATGGATCTGATGAAACTACAGATAGATATTTAATGTATGTACCAGACATGAATTTGATGCCTTCAGTATACATAGATGTGAATTTGGTGTTATCATTGTCCCAGATGTGAATTTGATGTTATCTGCATATCCATACACAAATTTTATGCTCTCAGTATAGCCAGAAATGGGTTTGAAATAGTACTGTCCCTAGAATTGTATCTGACATTACCAGTGTAAGCAGATTTAAATTTAGGAATTTCCTAAAATCAGATTTACTAGCTGCTACTAGTTACATGTTTTCTTCCTTTCATTCTGTTTCTGGATTCAGTGTGTCACAATCCAGTGATGTATCTATCTAGATCAGAGGCCAATGTATGCCTCTTTGGCATGGTTTCATGTAAGGTTTACTTCCTAAATATCAGAGCTATTTAGTGGTGGCCAGTGGACCAAATCTGGCCGGCTGAGGCCTAGGGGTCGTTGCCAGTTGTATGGTATTAATCTTCTTTCTGTGCTGAGGCTTGGGCTTTAGGCCCACTAGGATCCCCATTTTCACAATTGTTGCCCCTGAGTTAACTTATTTGAATAGCCCTACTATAAATTCCACTGTGGGTAATGTGCTCTAATTACCTCCCATTGGTAGGCTTTCCTTCCTGGCAATTTTCAACCAGCAGTTATTTTACACTCTATTCTTAGAATCTGTTATGTGCACAACTGTGTATGCATGTGCGTGAAAATGAATGAGCGAGCGATATCAACCAAATTTTCTTTCACAAACTTTCAGCCATGTGCACATTAAAGCTTGGCTCCCAGTGTGGCTTCTGGGGCCCGGATGAAAAGATGCCTAATTAGGGGCTTTTCCTTCAAATCTGGGAGGTGCATCTGCCTGAAAGCAAGGAACCAACAGTCTGCAAATAAATAAGCCAGACCTGTAAATCTGATGTGCATGCAAAATTCAAATTCTGAAACAAGACCAAAGTCTAGAAGTGGACAAACAACCAGAACTTTCTGCCAGTTTACAGATGGTAAAAATGAAAAAGAAGAAGAAGAGAAGCCTAGAAAATTTTGAGCCTTGCAGGGAGTTCCACAGGCTCAGTTATATTTTCAATGAGGGTGCTCATTTGTTTATTTTACGTTTAAGCTTTCGCTCTCTCACCCCCACCCCCGTGTGTTTCTGCTCATAACTGGTTACTTTTTACAAGTCAGCTTCTTGTTTAATCATTCCCAATGTGACAAGTCAGTGCCAGATAGATCAGAATTTATGATGTCAGCCTCTGACTCCTTCACACCTAGTTCTTCTTTTTCTTCTGAGTTCACTCTTAAAAGGGTTGTTGGCAGGTCCAGGTTGTGCTGAGGTTTACCGATACATGCACCTTTTGGCCCAACACAGCCAATTTCACAAAACCTTAGTCGCCTTTTGTAACAACATACTTGGGAGCAGTGAACCCATTCATTTTTCTTCAAACGATAGAGCCCGAAACCGACAGGGAGAAACCCAGTCAAATTCATGGTCGAGATTATGCAAACCAACCACTCTTCTCTCTCCTTATGTGCCTTTATGCTAAACACAGTAACTCTAACCTCAAACTAAGTATAGCAATGAAGAAACATCTGTGTAGAGAGGATAAGATGTCATGCTCGTAGGTCAAACGTAGGTCCGTCTCATATTAAACACTTAGTCATCTATTTCCAAGTCAAAATACACTTGCAATTATGAACAGATGACATTTAGGAATAGAATAGTCATGGAATTTGTAAATTTTGTCAAAATTCTGTGTATAATTACATAAATAAACTTCAAGGTTAAAAACCAAAAAATAAACAACAACACACACACAAAAAGCATGCAGGGAAAAATAGGCATTGTTTTAGGCAAAACCATTAAAAAATAGTTAAAATGAGCACAGCTGCTAAAATCTAAGATATCACAAATGAAACAGATTAACAAACATGTCATAGAAATAATATTTCTATGTAACCACACAAATTTATCTTTAGTTATCGAAAGCTTTAAAGAAAACCCAATCAGTATGTTATGAATTGTTTGTTTGCGTTCACCGGTTGTAAACCCCGGCGGAAAGACCTGGTTTTTCGTCCATTTGTGGACATTGGTTTTCTTTCAGGACCTGAGTTTTGTGTGTAGATCTGTTTTACAGATGTTGCTTATTTGTATACAGACTGTTGGTTCCTTGCCTCTCAGGCAGATGCATCCAACACTGAAGGAAGCCCCAAATTAATTGAATCTTAAGAGATGCTTGTGGGAAGGCAGTGAGTCTATTTTGGTTTTTCCTATAATGGGACCCCAGAACCTCCGGGGGGGTATGTTATGAATAATGTTTCTTCTTCTGCCTTTTATCCTAAAATGCAGCACAGGTTCTGAGCCAAATAACTTCAAGCCCTTTCATCCTTTGACCTGTTCAAAATTCTTTTTCTCTCAAGATTCTTTTTCTCCAGAATTCCGAGCCTTTGAGGTTCACTGCAGCAGATATCACCCACCTTTATTAATCTCTCTGATAAGTCCTCTCTTGTTAAAGACTGATTGGATTAAAAGTTAACTGCACATCTTTTGCAGGATCTCCAGGACTTGTTAGCCGTCTGTGGTTTTACTAAGCAATTTTACATTCAGTAGTTTGCATTACTGGTTGGGTTAGTTAGCTGCATATTGTTTAGAAGACCTTTCAAACCAAACCCAGGATTTGAAGACGAGGTTTTGCTAGGCAATATTTTTATTCTGTAGTTTGCCATAGCTTTCTGAATGGCTGGCTCTGAACATCGCTGCCAAATTTAAAGTGAAACAATCTGCTGCTAAATTGCCTGTAGCTGGAATCGAACAGGATATTCCAGAACTCCAAACCGTGTTCCCACAGATGCTGAAATTGGCTTGGTAAACCAGCTAAAAATTTTCCCACAATAATCCCTCTTAGTTTCCTCTTACAACATGCCTGGTAGGGGTAATTTGAGAGTGAGTGAACAATGGGGAGTCGCAGACAGACCACTGTGGTCTGATGAGAATGGTGCTGCGAGGAGTGACCGGGGGATCTCACCAGTGCTCAATATTAGGTGACCATCACTAGGAGAAAAGTCAGTCGGAAATACAGACTGTTACTGGAACCATCAGAACTGAAACTCTGCGCTTGATGCCAAAGATGGGGACACAGTGCTCATGGGAATGTCCTGAGTGATGTAATGTCAATTCCTAATTCACCATTCAACAGTGGTTGGTGTTAGTATTCTTTACTTCCTTTATGGCAGTGGCTCTTAAACTTCCTAATGCGGTGACCCTTTAAAAACAGTTCCTCATGTAGTAGCAATCCTGAACCATACAATTATTTTAGTTGCTCCTATATAACTTCAGTGAATATGTGTTTTCCAATGGTTTGTGGCAATCCCTGTGAACTGGTCGCTTGAAAAAAAAAAAAAGGTTTCCAACCCACCGATTGAGAACCGCTGCTTTATGGGCTCCAGTAGCACAAAAGCGCAAAAACAATGCAGCATCATGTAATTCTGGATAATACGAATAGGATATCACCATAATAAAAGGTGGAAGTTGACATACATCATGCTTATCATTGTATTTAGTTTTAATAAGCTATAGCAAGTTTGAATAAATAAAAGCCTGAGATAATATACCCAAATATACCCCCAACAAATATTAATAAAATTAGAAAATTTCCAGGGGGAAATTTATTTAATATATTAAAAGAAATAGCTGGCCCTCAATACTTGATACCTCTGTGGAATTTAATGAGGTGGTCAGCTGCTAAACTGCTCACAGATGGGGATCGAACAGGATACAGAAATAGTAAAGGTCAAAGAGATCAAAAGTGTATCATAAAAACACCCAAGCAAGAAAATACATCACACAGAAAAACAGATGAATGATGTAAAAATAAAACTAATCTACTGTATAAAAAAAAAAAAAGCAAGTAGCAAAAGCACTGGTTTGCACATTTTCCTAGCTAGAAAAACAAAAACAGCTGGGGGAAAAAACATGCAAGGTAAAACTGATGAATCTGCTTGTATATTTAGGTCATGCAAAAAGCTAAAGCAACACAGAAATAAAATGGTGTTAACCCTACAAATTACTCCTGCATAATGCTATATCATCAGCAGTACAACTAACAAAAAAGCAATGAATTATAACACAACTACTTGCAATGTATCAACAGCATTACCACTAAAACTACACTTGCTACAATTACTACAACTAATATTTATACAAATATATATATGACATTATACCTATAATCACTACAGCTCATAGATTTTTCAAAGTCTACAAAAATAAATATCACAACTGCTATTAATAGCATTTATATCAACAGCCTCACCACTAAGAATACAATTTCTATAATTAATATTTAGTAATAAGCTTAGGGTACTTTAGCTACAATTAATAAATTAATAATTTTAATTCAAAAGCCTAAGACACTAACTGCAATTACTGTAACTAATATTTTGTTCCCCAAAAGTCTAAAGCATCACAATTAGCGTCACTAATATTTGTATTTTATCTAAAGCCTCCCCAATTTAATGAAATATGGCTTCAATGGACTTTTATCTTTCTAGGTTTCTTGCCTTGAAAATACACTTTGTACTAGTGACATTTTAATAACATCTTTGTTATCAAGGCCTGCAAGTGCCAATGCTTGAACAAACATATTTAGAAAGTCTGGAAACATTTTAATAAATAAACAATGCAAATAATAATAATTATTAGGAAATATATTAACTTTAAAATCAGTGTAAATAAATATTTTGAATATTAACAAAAAATACATAAGATATCAAAATTGTGACCATCTTGAGGTTACAAAAAATAAAAATGTTCTAAAACTGTTTGCAACACTCAGAGTATTCATTAATAACAATTAAACTGTCACCTTTTTGTCTTTTTTAACATCATCTTCTGGATACAGAGGTTCATTTGTCATACCTGGCCGGTACTCATACTCAAAATCATCCTGTGGAAATTAACATTGTTTATCACCACTGCATCAAAGATGCAAACAGTGGGGAATGGAGAGTGAGAAGCAACAATGAAATTCATAATCTGTCTAAATCACCTTTGATCACTGGCATCATGAGAGCTAATAGACTGAAATGATTGGGGCATACTGAAAGAATGTCAGATGATAGATAAGAAAAAAACACAAGGGAGATAAATGGTCGTAGACCAGGAGGCAGTTTAAGAAGACGATGGAGAGATAATGTCCAGGCAGACCTACAAACACTTGGTGTCACCAAGTGGAAAGAGAAGGCCAACAATAGAGATGAGTGGAGGCGGGTGATATCTGCAGCAATGAACCTCAGGGGCTTGGAATGCTGAAGAAGAAAAAGATCACCATTAACTGCTACAGTAAAACTCTTAAAACATTATTTTTTTTCTCAAAATTTCATTTTTAAAACGCATCCTTAAAACTATCCTAAAAATCCAAGGGAAGGGAAGAGAAGCAGAAGTAATGTGGAGTTTGGGTCAGTTTTTATAAAGGTCTAGGGTGTCGAACTCTCCCCCCTCCTCCTTTTCCTCAACAACAACAAAAAAAGCTCAGGAGAACATGAAAGTCACTTCTTCATTGCTGCCATCAAGTTGCTAAAAACAATGATTTTTTTTTTTGGGTATCATTATAATTTACAAATACCAGAAAATGAATTTTTTTTACATGATGGGAAGTAATCACTTCATGCAAACAGAGAAAAGAATTAAGTGCTTTTCTTCCCTTTGACCATAACAAACATAGTTTTGTTAACAGCCACATGCAGCAAAGTGACATAGTTATGAGATTGTTAATACATCTAAATATGCTAATTTTTTGCCTCAAACAATATCTGACGTTTTTGGGAGGGACACATAATAAAACCCACCAGGTCTACACAGTACGCAGTTATAGTTTGCACTCAAGTCAACCACTGCCCAGAGACTTCTTGTCATCAAAAACCAGTAAATGCCAGGAAAATAACTTTCTCAGGGCAACAGTTACAAGAACCGACTGTACAAGCGATCCAATTTACCAGTCAAATTAATCAGAATAGGCCACAATTTATTATTACCCTAGTCAAGTTCCTAGATGCATATTCTCTTCATAGTCCATACCTTGTGACACTAGTAACTATGCTATCCAATATTCAGTCTCTTGTACTACCAATTAATTCTGATGTTCTTTCACACCATAATGTCAAATTGTCCAGCATCTTGTCTCTGGTCTTCCACTGCCTCTTTTCCACTGTCACAACATTCTCTACTTTTTCTCCTTCTTACAATGTGACCAAAGAATGCAGAACAGTTTGTTCTGATCAGTCAGTCAGTTCTCTACAAGACTGAATTTCTGTCAAGGCATCTTCATTACACTTTGCAACCGGACCCCGGAGAAAGCCAGTTTTTTCCCTACTTTTACAAGCTTTTGATGACATGATGTCTTTAGGCTGTGGTCAGCTTTGATACTAGTTGCAACTGCAAAGTAGGTAGATGTGGTGGGTATAATTATGTTTTTTAAAGGAGTGGGGGGGGGGGGGGGGGGGGGGGGGGGAATTCTCTTGTCACAGTAAGGTAATAATAAACATATTATGTCACTTTGCACTCTATGGCTGTGTCCAAACAAAAACCAGTTTTTTTTGGTCAAAGAAAAATAAATCAGTTATTTCTTTGGTTTGTAAGTATTTTGAGATCACTTAATTTTTTTTGTTTTGTTAAATCATCTTTGCACAAACTAATGACTCTAAATATGAAACAATCTATTTTTGTAGTGACCTTGTGATGCCACGACACAATAGCCAGGTTACAGGTTTCAACTCCCTAGATTTGTTATAATGGCCAAGACTCTGAATTCCTTCTTTTTCTTTTTCTCTTCCTCTATATGCTTTGGGTAAAGTTTCAGAAAATTATAACAATGTTAGTTAGTTAGTTAGTTAGTTAGTTGGGTTATCATCATTGCACTCCGGACATGTCCATAGGTGCTCAGATCCTCCCCTCAGTATGAATCCCAACGTCCGATGGCTAATAGTACCAGTTCTATGTTGATTAACAAGTCTTCTGACGTGTCCGGTGTGCGTCTCGTTTTTTGCTGTGCCGATCTTAATTCCCAAGTCTGCCATTCTGGCGAGTGATGTGGATTCACTGCCACCAAAGACCTCTATCCTTCCCATTTCTCTGAGGGCATTGATAATATCAGCATGATCCATAGGCCGACCGTCGGTAGTGATAGCGGATCCAGCCAACCTGTCAGCTCTTTCATTTCCATCGACGCCTGCGTGTCCCGGAACAAAAATAAAGGTGACTCCTCGCACAGTGGACTTCTGAATTGATTCAAGCCATTGTATTATATATTATAACAATGTGCTTCATTTTAATGAAATTTTGGGGAAAAAAGTTAATTTTTTAAAAGCTGTTTACTGGGTGAAAAAGGTAAATGTCTGTGGTGCTCTCACCATTCAATTATAAAAATGACATCACTCCTGTTCATGAGGACTGGCTGTATACAGCTCTGAAAAAATCTTTTTCTCACTTCAATTTTAAGCAGCTACCCAGAATCACATATTTTCAGCACGTGAATGTGGATCAATTAGGTGGATGTGAAAGATAAGATAAAAATAATAATTCTAGTTTTCAAAGTTTTAAAGACTCACAAAAACAACTGCTTATACACATTACAAAAAGTCAATCCAAATTCGTTGGGTATCTCAGGAGAAGGGGAAATGAGTGCATCAATGCAATAGGAAAGCTGGAAGGAAATGGAAGCAGGGGAAGACAAAGAGAAAAAATGCTTTGAAATGTTTCCATCATGGCATGAAAAAACACCTCTATCATAAATTATCAGCAGTACCTGAGGTAGAAGTACGTGGACAAACATTATCATCAAGCACTCTGGAAATTCCCATAAGCATCCCATCCTTATTTTCAGTAGCGAGCAAAGAGCTCCAATTCTGATGGCAGCAGTTTGATTATAAATCCATCTTGCCTTTCCTCTGAGTGTAGCGTGTCGACCAGATCCCCAGGTCACTCCTAGCTGTATCATTATGATCAATTCGGGCCTCCACATTGTTCACTTTCTCCTAATGGTGACCTCATCTAGCTTGTCGACCAGATCCCCTGGTCACTCCTAGCCTCCACATTGTTCACTTTCTCCTAATGGTGACCTCATCTAGCTTGTCGACCAGATCCCCTGGTCACTCCTAGCCTCCACATTGTTCACTTTCTCCTAATGGTGACCTCATCTAGCTTGTCGACCAGATCCCCTGGTCACTCCTAGCCTCCACATTGTTCACTTTCTCCTAATGGTGACCTCATCTAGCTTGTCGACCAGATCCCCTGGTCACTCCTAGCCTCCACATTGTTCACTTTCTCCTAATGGTGACCTCATCAAGCTTGTCATGCAAACATTCACTGCCTATTGGTGCAGAACCAGCCAGTCTGTCTGCCTGTTCATTTCCTAATACCCCTGCATCATCCAAAGAATGCTAACTACCCAGAACCTCTGTCGCGATGATTACCGCTCTGCATGGAGCATGCCTGTCTCCACCTTTCTTTACATGCTGTGTGAGGCACAGACTACAGGAAGTTTTAAAAGAAATAATTTATGTCAAATCACAAACCTTTTTCTTTGGTGATGGGACATGCTAAGAAACCTTCGTCCACATCTACTGACTGAATAATTTGAAAGAACTTTAGTTGAGACCTACTAAAGACTAAACTAGGAATGACTTAATGCTCACAAAAAAGCAACTAGGACATTCAACAGAAGTAGAAATACATAGACAATTAACATATGTTTGAACTAGTCATTATCAGACGCTCGCCGCAGATCGGAAGATCGAGGGTTCGCTCCATGGAGGGTTCGCTCCATGGAGGAGTCAGACTTTTTTCAAAAATGACCTTGGCGCCCAGGTCGACCCAGCCTTGAGTGGGTACCGGGTGCAGTCCTGGGAAGTAGAGGCGACAGGCGTGATGCTGACCACATCACCCATCTTGTGCCGATTGGTCTATAAAAATATAGGTCTGGCCCTATACGACTAAAGGCATGGAAAAGCGTCCTTTACTTACTTACTTTTTAGTCTTTATAAATTAACAAAACAAAAGGAATCCATTATTAGAGAAATAAAACAACCTTGTTTCTGTATTTCTGCTGTGATGAGTTCTTTATTGACGAATCAAACCCTTTATGTAGGGGTTTCGACCTGAAATATTTTCGATCATGTGATGGGTAATGTAATCAATAACATTGCAACAATCTTTACTTCCAATTTAGGGACACATTTTTAGGCTGTGCCTACCTGGGAGTCAAGATCAGTTTTTACAATCTCCCTCAATGGGAGTCTGAACCTAAGACCACTAGCCTGACAGCCAAATACGCTAACCTGCGCCTTATTGGTTCCTACTCTCAGTCACACTGACATAAAGTACTCACTGTGCCACCCATATGTGGGGGTAGGTCTTCTGCTTTCACATAAGTCTGTACATCTGCTTTGGAGACAAACCTAATCTTGGCAACAGATTCTGGGTTTAGCCACGCCTTGATGATCTTCCAAGCAGCTAGAAAGTTTAAAAATTATTATCAAAGAAGAATATTTGTAAACAGAGAAATTTAAAAAAAGTTAAAAGTTTTGCGAACTTACAAATCTCTTCTTCCTGGTCGTGAATCCATTTGGACTTGTGCCAGGGCCTAAGTTTTGCTTCTACATCTGTTTTACTCACTTATTTGTGTTCAGTTGGTTGTTACTTGCTGCTTAGGCAAGTTTGTGTTTTTGGCAGTGGGTCTATTCTTGTTTTCCCCCACAATGTAGCCCTGGAACCCACATGGGGAGGCAGTGGGTCTATTCTTGTTTTCCCCCCACAATGTAGCCCTGGAACCCACATGGGGAGGCAGTGGGTCTATTCTTGTTTTCCCCCACAATGGGGCCCTGGAACCCACATGGGGAGGCAGTGGGTCTATTCTTGTTTTTCCCACAATGGGGCCCTGGAACCCACAAGGAAAAACTTACGTTTGGGTTGGCACTGCATCTATTTTTGTTCTCCCCCATAATGGAGACACTGTAACAAACAAGGGAAAACTTAAGTTCAGGATGGACAGTGCTGAAGTACACATGAAGGTGCACTTGGACCAGGATTCATAGAGATCAAGATCTATCTACAGCTCTTTACGGTCATCCTGGATAAAGGTTTCCAACAGGGGACCTGGCCAACGTAGACAGGATCCGCATTTGCTTCAAGTTAGAGCTTGAGAAGATTGCATGTAAAAATGCCAGATTTGTAAAACTGCTGTGCATACAACATTCCTGGAACACGGTCAAAGTCCAGAAGTGAACCAAAAAAAAAAAACAGGGCTTTCTTCAAGAGTTTACAACTCGCAAACACAAAGAAGAAGATGAAGCAGAAGAAGAAGCAGCAGCAGCAGCAGCAGCACACAATATCGCAGACACACACTCACACACGCTGATGCTCACCCAGACACATACACAGGGGTATGGCATAAGCCTCTATCTCAAACTCTAGTGTGTTCAAATGCAGATAATACTGTTTAAAGAAAACAGAAGATGTTGATAAACTAAAGGATCTGTCATATTTCATTCATGTAAGAAAAAGCAATCAAATAAAGAGGTCCTAGAGCAGTGGTTCTCATTCTTTCCAATGCCGTTACCCTTTAATACAGTCCCTCATGTTGTAGTGACTCTTCCCCCCCCCCCCCCCCCCCCCCCCCCCCCCAACCAAAAAAATTATTTTCATTGCTACTTCATAACTTCAGTGAATATGTTGTGTTTTCCGGTCTTAGACGACCCACGGGTTGAGAACCGCTGCCCGTGAGAAACAGAATAAAAGAAAAAGAGCTATTAAGAAAAAAAACAGTGATATGAAATTATTTGGATCCCATTAAAAGGCATGGTAATCTTATAAACACATCAGTGAAGGAGGATTACTAGCAATATACTTAAAAAGATATCAAGAGGTGGATGAACAGCAGTCTGTCAGTGTTCAGCCACAGCAAGAGAGAGTGTTGACAGACATCTAATGCAGCCAACATTCTTTGTGGAGAAAACACTTGAATGACTGACTGTCTCTGGTACCTCTTTTCAAACAGTGTAAAGGGTATGGAGCATTTAATCATGTCTGTCCAAAAGGCAGATTGGCTTAAAAACAACTTCTTGTCTGAGAAACTAAAATATTTTGGCCATATCAAGTGCTGTGGTGGATTAGAAAGAACAGAAGCAGAAGGCGTGGTACATGGAAAGAAGGGTAAGGCGCACCAGCATGAAGATGGGCACAGCATATAAGAGTCAATTTGGGCAGGAAGGTGCATGGGGCAAGCGATCTGATGATAGACTGGGTTTCTTTCAGGCACGACGTGATAACAATAGTGTTCTGTAAATAATCTACATGATGATCTCCTTCTTCTTTTGCCTTTCTAACCCCTAATGGAGCATACGGGTTCAACAAGTTCACGCCAAGTCATTCTATCCTGTGTTATCGCATGCAGCTCTCCCCATGTCCTCCCCATCTTTTCAACTTCACTCTCTAGCTTCCTTCTCAATGTGTTTTATTTTTTTTTTGTCCTTCCTTCATTCCTATGCCCCTGTGGGTTCCAGTGAAAAGAAATTCTAGTTATATTGTTCTCCAGTTTTCTCAACATGTGTCCTATACAAATCCAGCATCTTTTCTTTATCTCTTGGTCCACCACTGGAACTAAATAATCTACAGGATGATACTGTATCAAAACACCTAGAGTACCAATCATTTCACTTTCCCAAACAATTTTAAGAATGAAACATAATGCACCCATCACTGAATGAAGCTGGTACTTACCATTGAATATCCAAGGCATGTCATATATGAGCATGTAGGCTGAGGAATAAAATCAAGATGTTAAACCAAAATATTGAATTATTCAACACACACACAGGTGTATTCAACTTATTTGTTGTACAAAATAAAAACAATAAACATCTGCTAAGTCACTGAGGAAAAAGATTGGAGCTTTTGAACTGAAATGTTATAGAAAAATTCTTAGAATACGATGGACCAGGAAGAGGAAACATCGACATTCTGAACAAGCTGAACATCAAGGAGAACTGGCTCATAAACAGCTTCCTGTACCGAAAGCTGAAGTATTTTGGCCACATCAAGCGTCATGATGGCTTGGAAAAGACGGTGATGGGAGGTGAAGTTTGTGGAAGGCGAGGCAGGGGTCGACCACCGCAAAGATGGATATAAGACAATGAAGATGCATTGGCACTGAAAGCACATGGGGCCAGAGAGCTGGCTAGGGTGAGAAATACTTCCAGGCATGCCATGAAGAGAGGGACCTTCTGTAAAGGACTTGCTGATTGATGAAAGAGGCGGTACAGTAGTCGTCTGGCTAGTCACTTGTTTCAGGTTCAAATTTGATTCAGGGAGGGTTATTGATAAACAAACATACAAACACTTGGAGGGATCCTCATCAGTGCTACATGAACGAACACACAAACATTTAGAGGGATCTTCACCAGGGCTACATAAACAAACATACACACACTTTAAATGATCCTCACCAGTGATACACAAATAAACATAAGGAGGGATCCTCACCAGTGCTACACAAATAAACATAAGGAGGGATCCTCACCAGTGCTACATAAACAAACATACAAACACTTGGAGGGATCTTCACCAGGGCTACAGATAAACACCAAGGGGTGTACTTACCAATGCTACAGAAACAAACATACAAACACTTGGAGGGATCTTTACCAGTGCTACAGAAACAAACATACAAAAACTTGGAGGGATCCTCGCCAGGGCTACAAAAACAAACATACAAACATTAGGAGGGATCCTCACTAGTGCTACATAAACAAACATACAAACACTTGGAGGGATCTTTACGAGTGCTACAGAAACAAACTTACAAACATTTGGAAGGATCTTCGCCAGGGCTACAAAAACAAACATACAAACATTAGGAGGAATCTTTACCAGTGCTACATAAAACAAACATACAAACACTTGGAGGCATCTTTACCAGTGCTACAAAAACAAACATACAAACACTTGGAGGGATCCTCACCAGGGCTACATAAACAAACATTAGGGGGATCCTCACCAGTGCTACAAAAACATACATACAAACACTTGGAGCGATCCTCACCAGTGCTACATAAACAAACATGAAAACACTTGGAGATATCATCACTAGTACTACATAAACAAACATACAAACACTAGGAAGGATCCTCACCAGTGCTACATAAACTACAAAAACACTTGTAAAGATCTGTGCAAGTGCTACACAAACAAATATAGAAAACACCTGAAATAAATGTTATAAAACTTGTAAGTGACAATAAAGACAAAGAAATGTTTACCTACCTAAAAATGTTGGATAATATTGTCTGAAGATGGTGATGATATACTTGACAAAATCAATGTCCTAAAATACAAATACAAAACTTTAATAACACTGAGGACAGATATATGAAAACTGAGCAAAGGCTCCTAGGAATGGTTGTTGTCGGGGGCTTAGGCACTGCAAACGCGCTTTGTAATGCCAGATTCGATCACAGCTACAGGCCTTACGCTGGTTTGGACAGTGGTATCGAGAAACCAACTGTCCAGAAAGTAATGGCAAACTACTAGAAGTAAATTTGTATAGAAAAACCACAATAGTCAAAAAATGGCTGGGTTTGGTTCTGAAATGGTCTTGTAAAGGATAGGCAAACTTTTAAACTCTCGAGAATGAATATCATCATCATCATCACCCTCAAGTGTCATGCTGAAATGCAGAGGTTACCAGTGGTGTCATTATGTACACCACCAGTAACATGGCTCAGGTCTGGTCTAAGAGATTTAGCACACACAAAGTAAAAGAGAAGACCCTTTTTTTTCCAGGGCACATGGGGTATATGTTCTACTAATTTTTTTTTACAGACTAACTGGCACTCTGTGGTTGAACTGGTCAACAACAAAATGCCTAACTTTGCTTCCCAGGACTTAACCTGGTAGCCATTTGAAGTTGGGTGAGCCAAGGTCATTTCTGATGCCCAAAAAATCCAACCTGATGCGGATTCAAACAGTAGACTTTCTGGCTGGAGGTGTGCATCTTACCACTACACCACTGTAGCTTCCTACATATGGTTAAGCCGTCTAGATATTTACCTATTTGTCATCCATTTGCTTAATTTCCTAAAAATGTTTTAGTTAACAAAAAGCTTTCAAGTTTTTTTATCCTCAGAATGTATCCCCAAAAAATCAGACTGTCTAAATTTAATTTTCTCTAATTAGTTTTTACCTGAAGATAAATATTTGACAAATGAGAAATGACATTGAGAATTAATATAATAACAACTAAGAAATGGCACTGGTAATTAATAAATGACAAATTATGAACAGTAGTGGATATAGTTATATGACAAATGAGAAATGGCCCTAGGAATAAATCTATTACAACTGAGAAATGGCAATGCGTAGCACCAAATATAGCAAGCAGAGACACATATGCACCAGGATCAGATACTACATGGACAAAGACTACCTTCCCAGAGGTATCCTGGACACAAACACTACTCTGATTATTTGCAGAATGGTTGACCATCACTTCACTGTGATAAAGCCCACATAGGACAACATTCTATGCCCACTGTACAGGAGTCACAGTATGAGCCTGCTGACAATGAATATGATGTTTAACTTCTTCATGTTCACCAGCTGTAAACTCTAGTGGAAACTTCTGGCTGTTCATACACTTCTGGAATTTGGTCTTGTTCCAGAACTGGAGTTTTGTGTGCACACAATTTTAAAGATCTGGCTTATTTTGTTTGCAGATTATCTGGTTCCTTGCCACTCTGGCAGATGCACTCAGACTTCAAAATCCAAATAATCAATAAATCTACAAGAGGCTAATCATTATTAATTTTACAAGGGGCTTGTCAGTAGTTGAGAGCCTATGCTCAAATGGAAGATGAAAGCCAGAAAAAGACAAACCTTAACAACTAAGCTTACCAAGTTAGCCATGCCACAGGCAGTCATGTCTAGAAGGACAACTATTCCGTGTTGTGGACACTCATTGAAGGCTTTTTCTATAGTGAACACAAGACCTTGCTTTTCTGCCTCAATTTTCTCAGAGGGCGCATCTTTTCTATGGAGTTTCACCCTCAACCATACTAAAGAACAGAAAAAACAATAATGATCATGTATACGTATGTTTACACATGTACAGTTTTTTCATTAACTCTTTTGGTACCATAATTTTGTATCTGACGCCTGATTAAAGCAATAATGATGACAATAAAATCAAGGCCCTTTGCACTGCTGCCCCAATATGGGATGCAATTTTTTGTTATTTTAAAGCCCCATTCCGATTGTTGTCGGGGGCTCTAATATAACCTAACAGCTGAACGGCGCTTCTGAGACTGGTGCGTGGGTGTTCTCACCAGAATTTAGTTTGCCTGATTAAACTTACGATGTACAAATATATGAAACCTGTTAACTGGTACACATGGGTAATTTCCATCATACATGGTACAAGTGCTCGAAGACAACTTTTCACAGACATCAGAAAGAGACATTCATTATTTTTTGGTCATGTTATGAGAGTGGGAAAATGGAAAATGTTGGGACCACTAGAAAAAAACTGTGGAAAGAGAGACAGGAAGGCAGCATGAGAAGATTCTTGACAACCTTTTGTCATGGCATGGAGGGGTGTTAGCACATGAACTGATACATGCAGTTGCAATGAGGCATGATCACTCACACCAGTTGGCAATGCACTTGATGATGATGATCTGTTATACAGGATCTAACTTACTTGCATGCAGACTGCTGGTTCCTTGCCTATCAGGCAGATGCATTATGACTTCGAAGGAAACATGCCACTGAGGGTATGCTTATTAAGAGGGCAGGTGGTCTATTCTCGCCCCCCCCCCCCCCCCACTACAAGAGGAAAGCATGACATTCCTTATCTACCTGATCCCCCTATTAAGATCTCTTTCCTTTATTGATTTGAAATGTAATGAAAAAATAAGTGCCCTAGACAGGCGGCAACAAAATTATTTATTGTCTTTTAACCCTTTGGGGACAACTGGGCCGATCTACCGGCCAAACAGCAAAATAGTGAAAGACAGCTGGGCTGGTCTGTCGGCCCGGTAATATAAGTCTTGAGACTGGCTGGCTGGTGTTCTTACCAGCCAATCAAATTGCTTCTCGCATTTCTTGCATATGTTGGCTGTTCAATGGTGGCTTTCGTGAAAGTTTGTTGTGTTCTGTATTTTTACACTGAATTTTTTTTTCGAGTGTTATCTGTGCCCTACAATGGTGAGGACTGTTGAGTCATAGCAACCAAAATACAGCAGGAGGTAGAAAAAGGAGTAGAACCATGTGCCAGATGTGTCTACATGGGCTTTGCTTCTAAAAACACAAGTTTTAGGATTTATTTAGGCTTCATTCATCAGAAAATTTAGCCACATTGTTCAACTTAGTTTTGTTTGTAGTAAGTAATTAAAAAAAGATGCATGCATAGAAATGGTAATTTGAATACATTTTTAGATGTCACTGTGATTAAAAAAAAGACTGTTAGTTCATTCAATATTCCACAAGAATATATTGTTTTTTTTTTTAAATTAAACGCCTCATTTTTTATAATTTTCTGTGTCTCAGTTAGGGGAATACCACTCCCCCCCCCCCCCCCCCCTCCCACTCAAGGCACTGAAACTCCAAATAAGGCTTCCTCTCCAAAGAGTTAAAGGAAAATTTCAGCTTTAACTTATTAAATCTTCACATTCACTACAAAAAAAAAACTAAATAATCAAAAACTGTACTTACATATTCTATGTCCATTGACATCTTTCTTGTGAAAGTAAGCACAACCAAGTTTCAGCAGTTCTGGTTCAAATGAGCTCTCTTTAAGATCTGCAATCATCACAAAAAAGGTAAATAAAAATGGTACATTTCAGAAACTTGGACTGATCAAATATATAATACAGGCATGCACATTAAGGTAGTGGCTCTCCAAAGATCTGCTAACATGAGTAAGTAGACCAATAAAAATGAGACGTTTGCAGTCAGCGTTCAAATCTAAAATTATTCTGTTAATAAAGCAGTTTTCTCCAATGTTTTGATCACCATTGTATTTTTTTAAAGCTGTGGTACTTCTAAGAATTTGTAATATTTAAGTTTAAAAGCCCTAATGTTCCATTCTTAATTATTTTCAAATGGTCATTGATTTCCAACAATTTTTGTACAGTGCATATTTTTAAATTACTACTTCAGTTTTCTTCTGCTAGCATTTTACCCCCACAGTCACACTTTTTGGGGGTAAATCTGCCTCAAACTGAGGATTCACCCTCAGAAACTTGTGGATAGGACATCACTTTAATAAATAGCTGCACCTGTTAGCATCCACAGGATTCTGAAAAATCATCAGCTGTGTTGGGCTGGTCACCTAGCCCCCATGCCGGACTATCACCTCCCAAGAAGAGTATTTTGTGGCGAGCTCCACTAAGGAAAGACAGAAAAAGTGCTATAAGGACACTCAATTTTTCTGGCAGCAACATGGGAGGCTGCTGCACAGGACCGTTCTGGATGGCGTACATTCCTCAGGCATGGTGCATCAGTCTGCCAGGCAGCTGAGGTTGCTCAGGCAGAGAAACGGAGGCAAACTAGAAAGAGCCATATCGCCTAATCCACACTTTCTGCAGTCTCCACCTGTTGTTCGCACTACTCAAGAACTTTCTAGGCTTATACTGGTCTAATCAGCCACCTTTGTACTCATAATCATTGATCATTTCTACTTTGGATAAAAAGTGGTCTTCATCACCCGTGAAAGACAAACAACAATAAATTGCTGCACATGGGGGGCGTACATCCTAAATATGCTAGCCAGCTTTAAATCCTCAGGACCAAGTCCCTCCCCTTTTTCTGCATAATAAAAAGTGGTAAATACAGGCAGGGTCATATTTAGGCTATGTGTAACATGTGCAGCTACACAGGGCATCAACTTTTTGGGGGCAACAAAATTCCAAGAGTAGCAAAATTTAACTAGTAGTTTTAAAAAATGCCAACATCTTTACTGCTTTCATCACATGAATGTTTAGTCTAATTATGTTGTAATGTTCCTCGATAAAGACTCGGTCAAACTGTTCAGCTGTATGCTGTGAATTTGTGCACATCTTTTCCATTTCTTCCACTGAGCTTTCTAGTCATGGCAGGACTCTAATGTATATATTAAGGGGAGAATCTGAACACCTACAGATGTGTTCAGTGTTTGTCGGGAAAAACAAGTCACACATGGTTATGAGTTATGATAGCAATGGGTGAATTTTTTCAAACATTATCTGTTGCCAGAGATTCAGTCTGTGTCAAAGATTCAGTCTGTGTCAGAGATTCAGTTTGTGTCAGAGATTCAGTTTGTTTCAAAGATTCAGTCTGTGTCAGAGATTCAGTTTGTGTCAGAGATTCAGTCTGTGTCAGAGATTCAGTTTGTGTCAGAGATTCAGTTTGTGTCAGAGATTCAGTCTGTGTCAGAGATTCAGTTTGTGTCAAAAATTACTGGTTCAGTTTGTGCTCGTTTCCAAATGTATCAGTCATGTACATGTCTTTCAAGAAGAGGAAAAGCAGCTCACCATTAACTTTGATTTCTTTTCTAAACTTTAATGAGGAATGAACAAGGTCAACAGCTTCATCTAGCTTTTCTTGGTTTTTAAGGTATGTACTGGCAAATACAGAGTCTTCCTGCAGCCTTTTCAAGTCTCGGGGATCATACAATCCACTTGCAATGTTCTCTGTAAAAAAAAAATATGAATGAAAGTAAAGAACTTTTTGTAAGCCTTTGGCTCATCAGATATAACAGTGATAGCACCAGATTTTTTTACAGACCAATCAGCAATCAACGAATCATCAATTTCTGCTTCTGCAGTTAAGCACCAGGGAGAGGAGCAGCAATATCAACTGTCATTCCATGTCCATGCAGAAGCTCTTTAATGTCATCAATCCATGTTCTCCAAGGGGAACCTCTTGAAAGCTCAGATCTCTTCATGTGTAGCACCTGCATTGGCAGTTGTTCTTGCTGCATTCTTACTAGATGACCAAACCATCTGAAATTCTGTTTCTCAATTAATCTGCTGCATGGTTATCAGTCTGTCTGATAATCTTTATAGAGCTGACAGAATCATGTTTTTCCTTAAACTGCTCCATAATTCTTTAGCAATATCAGATGAACAAACACTCCCTACCGGTTTGTGGGACATTTCGTAGGATCATCCTTATTTAAATACACTGGATATGAGTGATATGGTCAATATCACACCTGCCACATTTACTTCCAGGGACATTTCCTGGAAGTTATTTCCGCTGGATGGAACTGGGAGCCCATAATTTATTCAACATAACCATTAATACAAAGTCATATCTCAGGGTAGCTGCAGACATAGACCACCCTTTGCATGAAGCTCTGGGGGCAGTTAAGCATCAGCGGCTGATAAGAAGGAAGTCATGGATGGCTTAGACAGGTTTGCATCCATAAGAACATTAGGCGAGGAGAAGAGTGGGTCAAAGTGCCACCTGAACAGTTAAACTTGTGTAGGGTCATAATCACACTGAGCCGGGAGTGCAGAAACTGGCCAGAAGGTGCCACAGAGATGAAAATTCAGCGAAAATTCGAGATAATGCCGTCTCAGAGGATTTGATTATTTATACAGATGGCTCAGTGTCAAGAGGCAAAAGAAGTGCTTGGGGTTTCTTAGCAACAGTTAATGGCCGACGTTTGGTGCAGGAAAGACTAGCATATACTACCACAACATCTAGCTTAAGAATGTAGGTGGAGGCGGCCACTGCAGCTTTCCGCTGGTTAGAGAACACGACACACACACACACAGACCCATCGTGATTGTAACTCAGAAAGCATGCCGAGGAAGATCAGGACAGGCATGCTTCGTGTAGAGTGGCATGCTTCACTGCAGAGGACAGGGGTAAGAAGTAGTGTCTGGATTTTTTTTTTCACTGGGTCCCAGAAAAACCTTTCAGCGGTTAGGCCACATCTATGCCCCAGGTATGTTCAGGGCCCCCGGCAGAAGCCAGGGTGGGGTTTCTAATAACAAAAAATTGCATTCTTCATGGGGACGACTTTTATAAGAGAACTAACAAATGACAGATTGCGTCCCTAAAGTCGGCATTTTCAGTTTTGGTCAGAATCTAATATTACTGTTTTGCTATTTTCACCAATGTTAACGTTCTTAAATCCCTTATCAAATTAATGGGGAGATTTTATATATACACGCTGAATAATATATATTATATGAATTCTAATTATATATAATTAATAATACGACCGACAAAGTAATTACAAATAAAAAAGAAAGGTGTCGGGTGTTGCCAACACTGTTGGTCAGATCAGTGTGAGTGTCAGCAGTTTAACTCACCACCATACTTCTTCGCAAAGTTCTCCCTTATGTACTGAACACATTCGCTCACCTGCAAAACAAAAACAAAAAATGATAATTAGAGAATTTCACACACAGATCAGACATATATCATGACATGTATTGCACAGATCAGACATATATCATGACATGTATTGCACATATAAGCATGAAAACAAGGCATCTGTGTCTCTCATGAACTTACCCCCATGGTCACAATATTGTTGTCGAGAGGGAGCAACTGCTTCCGGGGCAATAGGGCACAGTTTGGTCGACGAACGTAGAGTCTGCAAATTTACAACAAAGTACCCATTAGCAAATGTTTTTAACAAATTAAAGAAATTACTGTTGTTAATCAGCAGCGCATCGGGAGTATGATGATAGACTGATATTTGTTAGACCTACCCAAGATCTTCGGGCTAGAACGCGAGCTTCTAATTGCAATGACCACGGCTCCCAGTCGCGATTTCTATTTAAATTTTAAAATGTAATCAACGGGGTCTCTAAAGTTAACCGAAACATCAGATAAACGGTCTAGTTTTTTGCGTTCCTACAGCGAGCTGCACTGTCGTCGTTTAGATGCGGCAGGTTGGACTCCTGATGTGATCACTATATGCTAGGCTATTCAACTAGCGGCCCGCGGGCTGCATCTGGTCCGCGAAGACCTAGCAAGTGGTCCAAAAATCATTGCCAATTTTCTTGTATTAATGATCTTTCTTTGCTGGAGCTCGGTTCTCTGGCCCGTGGCGATCCATACTTTAACAATTTTAGCCCCTGAGTAAACTTAGTTGAATAGCCCTGCTATAGAAAACAGAGTCCATATTTTAAACTTGTTTTGTCTAATGTGTACTTTATTTCATATTCTGCGAGCAGTAATCAGAACCCCTAAATGCATTTCTGTTGATTCCATTTAAAGAAAACGGAGCATATTGTGGAAGTACCTATGAGAGTGAAAAACTCTTTTCGGTCCAACTTGCAGTGGATATATGGTTTTAAAAAAAAAGAGAGTTGCGAATCCTTTTCAGGACATTGTAAAACCATTTTTCTAGGCAAATTTACATCCAGTAGTTTGCCATTGCTCTCTGGGCGGTCGGTTTCTCGATACCACTGTCGAAACCAACACAGCTGGGATCGAACTCGGCACCCCAGCATCATGACGTGCGTTCGCAACGCCTAAGCCACAGAGGCCGACGGATATATGGTGCTGGACTGTTTCCTATAGACCAGTCGGGTTAGATGGGTGATGTGGCAACATCATGGTCGCTATCTATAATTTCAAGGGCATTTTCTGATATCCATTTTAGGCTGGGAGACATGGTCATTTATAAAAACTCCGTTTCGATTCAAACCCGAAAGCCCTTTGGAATAGTAAGTAAGTAATCAAGCCACTGCGCTAACGCCATTCCCACCGAGAAATGGAGAAATACACTTCAGTAACTGGCTGGCATTTGTGCGAAACGGGACCGAATTTAAACTTGACAAGGCACGTGCCTTGTCAACTGGCGTAGGCGCTCATGCATCTCTACAGATCATGATCCTTGGTTGCCTAGAACAGCTCTCTTGATGATATCCCTCTATGCCATTGTTTCAACCCATCCATCTCTCTTGGTCTGCCTTAACCCTCTTTTTACTGGTCTTTCCAGTTGTAACGATGTTTTCCAATGCCACTCTTCTTATTATGTTACCAAAGATTATTGTTGTGTATAGAAATCAAATTTATTTTTAGCTTCTTTCAAACAATCGTTGTTAGTTGCTCAAGCCGTCCAAGGTATTCGTAACATTCGTCTCAGAAACCGCATCTCTGTTGCTTTCAAAGTCCTTTTAATTTATTCACTACGTTCCAAGATTCGCTGCCATACAGTAGAACAAGCTCTATGTAACATTTTAGCACTCTCTTTCAGACATTAAATAAGAGCGACTTATTGCATCAGATATTTTCATGGAAATTTAGTGTTATTTAATTTTTAGCAACAGAAATAATCAAGAATATGTTTGCAAAATCAGGACAGTTGTATTATTTAATCATCTAAAAGGCGCCATTAAAAGGAAATTACATTTAAAATATACTGACAGAAAACTGAATCTATGAAATGAAAAACGAATTTGCCAAGGCCCCAGCAGGTTGTGAGGCCCTAAACTGCAGGATTTTTAGCGTATACCTAAATCCAGCATGGGTGCTAAACAGGAGGAGTAGAGGAGGTTGTATCTAATGGGCCGCTCGTTCTTTGTCGTCATGTACAAGCCGGCAAAATGACGAGGATGGTCTCAGGTACCGGATTTTTGTTTCTAGAGATGCTCGGCTCGCTAGCGTAGTTGGTTAACGCTGACTTTGCCGCGACCGGGTGACGAACTCCTTGTGGTCCGGGCTCACTCCCGGGTGTAGGCAGAAAAGCCACATTTCTCCAAGATTTACGGTACCTATCATGGAATCAAGGCCGAAGAGTTGCGATATCCATAGTACCGAGCCAAAGGGTTAACAACTCATGGTTTCTGGATATTTTTTTTTTTAAAGTTTCTAGTGGTACGCAATACTGGCGTCTTTTACTCTCAGTGCTTTTTTTTTCAACACCACTGTAAAGGAGTACTGACACCTTTTTGGACACTTTGCGGTGAGTACCGGCACCTTTTTTCCTAGAAAAAGAGCCCTGCTTGTGTGTATTTTTGCATCTCCAAAACTCTCACTTCGTTGGCTTTAATATTATTTAAAATAAGGCGGTGTGTGTGTGTGTGCGAAGGCAGTGACTTGGGTCATTACAGAAGTCCACTGTGCGTGCAGTCACCTTTATTTTCGTTCCTGGACACGCTGGCATCGATTGAAATGAAAAATCTGACAGGTTGGCTGGATCTAGTTCGTCTCTTGACACACTCCCATGCTTCGCAAATGACTGTGAAGAGTCCACTTTCATCATCTTCTTCTATCTCATTTCACATTCTATTCAGCTGTCTTATATCCCCGGTTTTTCTGTTTTAATAAAGCGGGCAGCAACAACAAAATATAAATATTTCAGATAAGCTGTCTTCTCGACTTATCTTCTTTAAAAAAATGATAAGAATTTTAAAAAGAGATCAAATGGAATTTTGGTCTTGTTTCGAATTGTCCTTGGTTCACAGCAGTATATATATATATATATATATATATATATATATATATATATATATATATATATATATATATATATATATATATATATATATATAAGCATAATTTTGCTAGAATGCATCGTATAAGCTTCGGAATATTAATCTTCCACCATGTTGTAAAATCCTACGCACATATATGTTTTTATGTCTAAATATGTATATATATATATATATATATATATATATATATATATATATATATATATATATATATATATATATATACACACACATAAACACACACACACAACTATCATGAAAACAACTATCCAAAATATACGATCGTAAGCAACCAACAATTTGACAGGTATGTAAAATATACGTTCTATCATGAAACTGCACTTGGACTTGGTTGTTGACAAACCCGAGAATTGAAAAGTCATCTACCCAAGTATGAAGCTAATTTATATATACAGCCACCCCAAGAGTCTGGATCTTTGCCGCCCTTCCCTGATTTCCCACAACAGCATCCATACAAAATGTGCCGTGTTTTTAAAAGCGTCGTTGAATCGTCTTCGGCTGCTTTGTCGACGAGCCGGTACATAATGTATGAGCCTGGTTATTATAAAGATTATAAGGTCATTTGTTTGAGACCTTGTGAAACTTTAATAATATGCTCGAAACAGTGCAGCGAATAATATATGGGGTGGGTATAGGTTGAAGGGTCTGTTATAAACAAGATATGCTTTAATACTAGATAGTGTTTTTTTTTTTTTTTTTATTCAGTATGAAGAAAACACGAAAACAAGACACAATAACTAGCTGACAGAATGTTGCTATTATTAATAATCCATCAGTGACTTGGAATGCGTTCTACTGCTGAGTCTTAGGTGGTGATACACGAAAATGTTGAACTGTTGTCTACAAGAAAAAGACGCCGTCTAATAAGAATATGTGCTAAGCAGAACTCTGGAGTGAACTTGTTAGTCTGTTTAAGACGTTGCATGTATAATAAATGATGTGTTCTTGTTCTGACGAAAATGGCTAATGGACCAATGCGAGATGCTAAGAAGAATGTAGCATCGATTGAGAGGTCATGAGTAGTTATCGTTCTTTGGATATTTTCTCCAGGATATGCAGGAGTGTTCGGGAATGAACATGCAGACATTTTGGGTGGTTCTGCACCAATGGGTGGTGAACTGAAAAATGACAAGCTAAACATTGTCAATGTCCTTTGGGGGCGAATGGACAGTGCGGAGGCAAGACAAAAATCAATATGGTTTTGGTAGTGACCCGGGTATTTGGTCAACATTCTACACTCAGAGGAAAGGCAAGACGGACAATAATCAAACCGATACTGGCATTATCGGAATTAAACTCTTAGCAGGCTGCTGAAGATAAGGACGAAGTGCTTATGGGAGTATCCCCAGTGATATGGTGGACATTCTTAGCTCAACACTCAGTGCCAAGAAAAAGAAAAAAAGGAGCAGTAAGAAGCAGAATGATGGGGGGAAAGCACAATTTGGAAGGTGAGAAAATGGTTAGTAGGTGTAGGGGGATGGATTAGGAGCATTAGACGTTCAGTAGTTACCATAACATTTTAAATACTTTTTATAGGCTTATTGCTGGGACAGAGGGACTACTTTAGAGTTTGCTTAGAGGTGGATCCGATCACCTATGGACTGAATGGTTTGATGCATTGAGGGTGATTCGTCGACTAATACCTCATACTTTATTACGAAAATGATTTCATTTAGTCGAGCATTGATTTGATTGATGTTTCACCCCACTAGGAAATCACACTAAGCGATAAACACCCAGTGACACGCAGATGAGAATCGCCAGTGGAGAGGTCCCGCGTTCAACCCAAAGGTTGGGTTATATTAGGGCCTCCGGCAAGAGCCAGGGCGAGGCTTCAAAAAAATGAAAAAATGTTTCCCATATTGGGATGGGGGTGGATAAAAAGTACTTTGTGCAACGATTTCAGAAAGAGCCGTTGTGCTGTAAGAGACTAAACCGTTACTCTGTGCAATGAAATCGATCCTACCGACTTTAACTTTAGATACAAGATGTTCTATGCTTCTTTTTCTCTTATGTAGAATGTATTTGCTAATATTTATGTTTGTTTAT